GTGCAGCACCTTCCCTTTTCGTTAAGAGTCTTCTCTGGGAGCCCACGCCAAAAACTTCCTGTGTTATCCCTGTTATGTTTTCAGCCTTCCATCCCCTGGTGATTTCTCTTGCTCTCTCATTCCAACTTTCAATGGTTTCAGTTCTCACATCCACGACCTCGCCCGCGATTGTCATGTTGCAGATATTGTGCTGACGCTTAAATCTATCAAGCCAGCCATTAGATGCAACAAAGTCATCGATCCCTAACCTTTCTGCGATAATCATAGCTTCCTCTTGTAGCATCGCCCCGGAAACTGGTTTATTGGACTGTCCACACAGGGTATACCAGTCCCAGACTGCCTCATTCACGTCAGAATATATTGGCAGTGCGCCTTCTCTTAACTTGGCTTCGACAGACGTTCCCACGTACAAAGCTGTAATGGATTCTTTGCTTCGTAGAATAGCCTGAATCTGGGTTTTTCCAGTTCCAAAGTGATTAGCAATCTTTCTGTTTCCGAGCTTTGGGTGAGTTTTTGCGAACTCAAGAACAGCAACCTTCTGCGAAAGATCAAGACATTTACGTTTCTTTTCTAAATGGGAACAAGCGGTGGTATTACGGTGACTATCTTTCTTTGTTATCTCTGCTTCTTTGATGCCACGTGGTAATTGTTCTTTGTCTGTAGCAGCTGATCGTCTACACGAGAAACAGAATGAAGCGAATGAGCCGGCCCTATAGCTGTAGTTTCCTCTGGAGCATCGATAGAGCAGCTGCTTGACCTGTTGCATGTTGGTTTGGTACAAGACAAACATCGGTAATTTGTTTCCTCGCCGTATGTTTGACAAGATGCTGCCGACATTGCAAGGACAACGCGTACTGGAAAAGGACCAATTTCAGTATTACACGCGTTACTTACGTTGTTCTAAATTAAGATCGAAACTTAATTGGGGCGGTTTTCGTTTACCCGACACCTTTTTGACAAGTGCACGTGAATACACGTAGGACACTGTAAGCCATTGGGAGTAGGCCTGAAACGCTGGTAACAGAGCTTTTGAATCATCCGTCATCGGTGAAAGACCGTAAATTTTACATGTCTGAGGAAGCTGAGCTGCAACTAAAGTCATTCATAAGAGGTTATCATGAATATATGGATATCTGGGTTCCCAATCATAGAAGACGAATATGAGCTGAAACGAGAACCGGGCAATAAGAAAGACCGTAATGCCGTGGCAATTGTGCGTCCAGGTACACGTGGTAGATCTTGTGAGGAAAATCAAGTGCCGGGAAATGAGTATGACATGTCCCGAAACTGATGGCGATATGGCTAACTAAATATCTCAAGAGAGGGACCAATAACGGAAAAGCAGTTGTTAAAGGCAAACGTGTCAATAGATGAGGCGGACATGGCTTAGAAGTTCCCTGTGAATACTTATTCACGGGAGACAAATTTTCCATTTCATGGTTGAAAACAAAGCTAGAAAAAGAAGGATTTGAACTCACATGAACAATAAACCATTGTCTAAGGAGACGTCTTTTCGACACGCTATATACCTTTGCACTTGGATTTGTGCACTTGTGAGCGCTTGTCAAAAAGTTTCTGGCACAATTTATTAATCCAAAAAGCTTTGTTTCTCAAAGAATCGACTACCAATATAGCTAAGGCTCAAGTTAATATGTACAATGCCATGCCACTGCTGTGTTCCTTCCCTTACTACTAGGGGATATCGCAATGTAAACGGTTAATAAATATCCTACATCAAGTTTCCCGAAGAAAAACTCGCGAGAAAGCAATGGCTTCATGCAATCCGTCAAGAGGAAGGAAAAAGGTTCAAAGTCTTGGACTCAACCATGGTCTGTTCGCACCATTTAAAAATGGAAGACTTATAGGAAAAGTATTGCGGGCAAAATATGCCTTCAAACCAATGTTGTACCATTGGTATTTTAGTGGCGTACTTCGCCGCGCAAAAGGAAGCCCCCACCTCAAAGATTTACTAGTAAAGCAACTACTCATCAATCATCCAGGGCTTTATTCATGGCGTGCACACTCGGAAAGCAGTGTAACTGATAAATCGAATGAACAGCTAGAGAGTCAGATTACAACTGTAGAATCTAATGAAAAGAATGTCGAAAATGAGGCAAAGAGAAAAGATGTCGAAACTCAGACCGATATGGTCGAGTCGTAGGATGCATGCATTCAGAGTGATCAGAGTGTTGTCGCGCTTGTGAAACAGTATGAAATGAGAATAGAAGAGCTCTAAAGAGAAAAAGAAAGCATTTCAAAGAAGAATGAATGTTTAAAAAGTAGACTTTTTTCTAGTGAAAGATTTCGCGCCGACAATTCTGCTGTGTCCTGCTACACTTCGTTTCCTAACAACGGTGTTTTAATGGAAATCTACAGTTATCTAGACCCCAGAACGTGTTATGATTGTTTAATTCCGCTCTGGTAAACAGAGGCATCTTGTGAAGTGAGTAGCTCCACATACTAGATTCGGGGAACTTGACGGGAACATGTCGTTGAGCGGTGGAGTGTGAACTTGTGTTGTTTGCCGAGCGTAGTTGTTTTCGTTTAGAATAAAGATTATTGGGATCAGGATCAATGATGTTTTTATCCTTTCCGCTCTTGATGTATTAAAGGTCAATTTAAGTGTAAGTAATCACAATTGACAATTTTCTCAAGCAATCAAAACACCTCGAAGTACGCATCTTGTGCTGGAAACTAGCCTTTTCACAAGCTCTGCTTTTGTCTTTAAACCTTTCGCTGGGTTACCTCTGCCCTTCAACCATAGTCTCAAGTCCTCAGTCTTGAATTGTGAGAGATTTCTATCTCCTAAGGAAGCTCCAGGAATGTCATTTTCGGTTAAAAAGCTCGAGGAATTGCGAGAGTTTGTATTCGCGTCGCCATGTGTTGCCCGGGTGGCCTCGCTTTCGTGAAATTATTCATAACCAGTCTCAGACCTCCATCGCATTTTCCGCCATTATGGCAAAGGTGTATGTAAATTTTGAGGATGTGTTCGGTCGGTTTCTAAAATAAACATTTCATCGCGTAAAGAGAACAATAAACGTGTGTTTAGATGTATTTAGCCGTCGCTGCTGTCTATTTCGGATTCTCATCTGTCATCGCCTTATCACAAACAAATCCAAAGCGCACTTATTTAGGGGTGGCCGATTGATAGGGGTTTCATTTATAGTATTTAACTGAAAATAATTTTGGGACTTTTCATAACTGGCCGCTTAATAGTATAAGGGGTGGCCGCTTAATAGGTGGCCGCTTATACGCTTAATAATATACATGAAAAAATTTCTCAGTTCTGATTGGTTAAGATGAATGCAGTTTTCAGTTAATTCAGTGCAGAAGAGAGTTAATTCAGTGCAAAGAAAGAAACAAACCAGACATTCTGATTGATCAGAATGATTGGTCAATGTCAAGGTCAATGTCAAGGTCAATGTCACTTGCAGGGTCTGCAGGGTCTGAAGAGCGCGCGCATCACGTGCAAAATTAATTTTATTTTTCCACGTGATGCGCGCGCTCTTCTTCTGCGTATTCTGCGTAGTTATGAGAAGCTACCTCGTATTTTTTCATGTATATTATTACTAGATAATCACATGATTCTCTCGTGCAATTTGGAATAAATAAGCACTTATAAATGTTTTCAAAGACCACAAATTGCATGAGCCCGTAGGGCTCATGCAATTTTGTTAGTCTTTGAAAAAATTTACTCGTGCTTATTTATTCTAAATTGCACTCGAAATCATGTGATTACCTATACTAGTAGGGGTTGGACTGTATATAGATATAGTCATGATTTGCAAGTTTTCCAGTATTCTACCAAAAACAATGCCTGTTCCAGCAAATTGCTTGTCTGCAATTATATACTGGAACCAGACAAACCTAACAACAAATGTGTTCTTTAAAGAATCTCTCAAGGACCAATAGGCTCTTTGCACGACTTGATCACGTGATCAACTTTTCGGTAAACATGAAAACAGTTCACTTTTGAAAAATTTTGTTCACACAAACTCATACAAATGCTTCTAACTTTCGGCGGCCGTTGCAATCGCTACTTTTGAGATATACGGCTGAAAATTCTCAGGTCACCTAATTTTAATATGCTCTTTCAGCTTGTGCTAACAAAATTTTTCAAAAGGGAACTGTTTTCGGGTTTACCGAAAGTTGATCACGTGATCAAGTCAGGCAAAGAGCCTGACCATTCGGCATCAAATAGATATGAATAAACATAGACAATTTTTGCCGTGGATGATAGTATCATTATTGACGGAAAACATTTATCCCGAGCATAGCGTGGACATGACCTTAAGCGTCGAAAAAATTCAAAGTAGAGGGGATCACGGGGCAAGTAGGGCTATTTACGTCCCTAAAACAATTAGTTTATTCAGTGTTGTCTCAGTTTCATCCCAGACAACGTAATTAGTGACTTGCAACGCAAGCGACTTACCTCTGAAACTCCTTTGTTAGCTATTTTGATAACTTAAAACACTTAGCCACGTCATTAAGAATAAAAAAAAATTGCTGTATGGTGATCAAAATTTATACGTTCAAAGCCCGAATAGTTTGTGGATCATCTCAGACGGCGTTCTGTCTTTGTCAATAGACCCGCAGATAACTTGTTATATTGTATCGAAATTTTCTTCGGCGACAAAAGGCTCGATTGACAACATCTTGAATTTGCAAACAGGAACTGTTGAAGCGCAATGCTCAACAAGTTTGCCTGCAAATTCTGAAAAGTCTTTGAGACGTCTCTTTATTGAGACAAATTAATGGGCGCGTTAGACTTAGACATGAACATTTTCCTTACAAAGCAGAAATTATTATCAAATCGCCGGATGAAGAAGATAAGATAACTATAGAAACGCGAGTCCAAAATATCGTTAGACGAGCGTAAGGTTTAAAGAATTTGACAAAAAAAAAAAATGATCAAATCGGGAATGAAAAGTCATCCAGATCGAGAGTTTGGTAACATTGTACCACTTGTGGAAGCTTTTTCTCGCTAGTAAAAAGCTTACCTTAAACGTTGACTCATTCAGTGCCCTGCATCACTATCTAAATGCTCAATTCCCTTTTTTCCGCCAATTCTAGAGATCACTTTCCCGGGCGTTTCGTGATGGTGCAAATTTAACTGCAATTCGCTTAGGTATGATACCAGTCCACCCTCACGAATACTTGAGGCAGGTTTTGTTTCAGCCCTTTAAGATAATCCCGAATGATGACAAATTGTTTACGACTGAGGGAATACCAAAAACAAACTAGGGCACTCATCATTTCCGGTTGCAAATTGACGTTTTCCTTTTTTCAGTGGATTAGTTTAACAACTGATTATTTTAATTAAGCAACGAATGAGAAGAAATAAGAAAAAGTTGTCAATGGTACTTAGCTTACGCTAAGTTTACCGATAATTTGATTTTGGTTGAGCTGAAAATAAAGTTGTTGCATCACGCAAGGCCGGCCAGCTTATCGGCAACAAATCATCCAAATCATCGGTGTGAGGAATTTTGCTTCATTGTGAGATAAAACATTTGGACAAACTTTCGAGGGCCCAAGTAGAGGGCTTACTTAACAAAAACTTTAAAATTCTAGGCCATGAGTGAATCAAGATTGTTCACTAAAATATCGGAACCATTCTAATCTCATAAATATTTCATTGACGCTTATCTTTCCCTATCTGATTTCACCAAAATAATGTAAAATATTGGGACAAACAATGTCTACTATTTTTTAGGAATTTTAGTAGTGAAAACAAGCTTTAAAGAAGGTTCTCGAATAAGAAGACAAGCTAACAGATTTATTTCTATTCCATAGAAGGAAAAGACTTCATATAGTTTCAGATTAGAAATGCTTAAGTTATTATCCTCGTGAAAAGCTAAAGATTTGACCCTCGGTTGAGCAAATCGTGACCAATATATGAGTATGGTTTCAGACGAAAATGAGTCCTTATTCTTTTTGCACGCCAACACATGAATAAAATGTCAAAAGCGGATGACAATAAACTGAAGTTTATAAACTGAAAACTTGGTCGTTATTTGAAAGTGATCAGGTGGACCAAAGTTTTAGATCATCTAAACTCTGCACTTTCTGAGGCGGTGGAGGAATCTGGGGATCGAAACACGCTCTTATTTTGCAAAGTGCTATGGCACTTTGCATATATCATAATCAATGACATAAAATTAGAGAGAAAAAAAACAATGAATCGATCGTTGATAGCAGCGAACGAAATATTTTAGGAAGGCTACGAAGGGATCAAATCCTAACGAAAACGGATAATTTGTGTGACAGTCCAAGCTGGGAAGAGTCTACAGAAGTTGATAACGTGCCGGAGGTTTTCCTCTTAATCCGATTTTCTTTTCATTTTTTTGAAAATACGCCATCTGTTACCCGAATGGAAAAATTCTGGTTAACTAATTTCGAATCTTTAATCATGAAAAATTAAAAACTAGTCAGTTTCACGACTTCAGGGCAGAATTCAAGAAAATAAATGCTCGTTAGATTTCTTCCGAAGTCGTTGTGTTATCACGAAACCGTGGGTACCAACGAGACTATAGTGAAATTTAGTAAGTTTTTATTTTGTATTATGTAAGACTATTTGGGTTACATAATACGATCGAAGCTTTAGCCATTGACTTGCAATTTTATCCACTGAAAGGCTGGGCAGAACACGCTGGTATTATTTATCTGATGCGGGCAAGACGCGAAAAACTGGAGGACCGTACCACTTCATTGATTACAATTTGTCCAGTTACATGTCGACTGACAGTTTTCCCGCAGAATCTTGTTCAGTGAAATTATCATGAATGTGACAAAGCACGACTTTCACCTACCCTGGATCCTGGTGGTTGTAATTTCTCCTAATGTTTTCCCAGGCTTTTATCGGAACCTGCCTTAATCTACCTTAATACAAGTTATCTGGTGCTGAAAGGGTGGCACTGGTACCCTCAGGATTATGTGAGTTATACCCCATTCACACCAGAAAACTTGTTTAGTTAAACCAGGTTTAACTAAATAAAAATCAGAAGCAGAGAACTGAAAAACTAAATTTTCCACGAGATTCAGGCAATTGCTAAATTGTATTTTCAATGTGCCACATTTGAAGTTAACCAAATATTGATTTGAGCAGCTTCTATGGAGCCGTTGTGTTAAACCATGTTTAACAAAACAGCTTTAAAGCATGTTTAGGCTTTGGTGTGAATGGGGTATTAGTTTGCGTGTGGCCTCCTTAACACTGTGTCATGATGAACGAATAGGGGTGAAGCATGAAGTGTGCAAACGAGCAGGGGGGTCTTTTTCTGAAATGGTCGATCTTGCAATTTATAAACAAAAGAAATGAAGGAAAAAATCCAGCTTATGTGCAATTAAGGCTGAGAAGAAAATTCAGCGGCTGCCGATGGAATACGGGCAGTAGGACTCCCTATTTAAGTACAAAAAGACAAAAAAAAGTAGAATCTATGATCCAAACCATAAAATGCTTGTTTAGCATGTAAGAAAAAGTGTCGGGTATCAGGATTACATTGGCAACAACAAAAAAAAAAGAATTAAAAAATTTGTGCACTAACGAGATTCTATACAAAACTTACAGACAAAGCTCAAGTAATTATTCCTTAGAAATGAAAATACAACTAAATAGTCAGCGAACTCGACCTCAATTTGCTTCTTTGAATTAAAAGTAGAGAGCAGTCTAGATATAAATTCGCAATATGTGCGAATAAAAATTTTCCAGCAAGACAATGAAAAAATATAATCCTTTAGCCGTGTCACGCAGTCACTCGTAAATCTAATCTCTGAATGTTTTAAAACACACTGATTACTTACCTAGAAACAAAGTGAATTTACCCCAAAGATTAAAGAAACTAAACAAAAGCCAGTGTTTTTCGTCCATTTACGCCAACTCAAGATTTCTTGCTGACAATATCATCGAGCAATTGATTACATCGTGCGCTTTAACTGAATCAAAAAAAATATTCATGGAGAAAAACTTGTTCGATTGTAAGCTTTAACTTTGTAGCATGGTATCAGAACGATTCAGAGAAGAAAGTTTTACCCTTGGTCATTAATGGAACGGTCATAATGATAAATGCAAAACTCAGCCAACAGATTGCTGAGTCCTAAAAATCTCTTCACGAACTTGATTTTTATAGCTGTTCGTGTGATCGATAGAACTAAGGACGATTCTTATATCGAATTAACAAAAATTATAAACCATCGTAAAAAGTTGTGCTGAAAGACAGTAATTTTCATAATCAATGCTCTTACCTAGTTTAAATTGCAATACATCTCTCATCAAAAGTTTGAGAAAATACTTTCTCCTTTTTTGATACGCAGCGCAATTCACGTGTTTCTCTTATCCATCAGCCATCATTTTTTTCGTTGTGCAGTGCTACACTGTAGCTCAGTAATATAACCTGACCGCAAACACAATGGCAAGCAAACCGATTATTCCACAAGTTATAAATATTAATTCACATACTCATCAGCTTTCAGCTCTTATTCCTAAACAAAAACTGCGCCAAAAATCTTCATTCTTCATCCGCACATTAAAATCAAAACCCGCTCTCTAGTAACCGATAGCCATCACGAATCGTAGCAAGAGAACAAAATCGGAGATTTTCCTCAAGATTTACAAGATAGATTAAAATTTCCACATCTAATAAGCAACCTAACGATTATCTGAACAGATTCATTTAAAAAAAAAATTAAAATGATTCGTAGCGCCAAAGAATATTCTGGCTTATTAGGAAACTTTCCTGGTCTTTTTTTTATTTATGTTTACCTAGCGGCTTTCATCGGCCATATTACCATGATCTTGAATTTTATGAACGATACCAATTTTGTAAAATTGTCGGAAACTAGTTTTCGCGCAAGATTAAATTTATCGAAGAAAATCTTCGCAAAGATAACCGAATTTCGTCTATTCTGCAATAGTCAAGGATCATATCATACAAACAAACAAAAACCATCAAGAAAGCATTTCGCTAGACAGCAAGGTTCACATCAACTGATAAATCAAACCTGTCACTCTTGCCAAGCGTAACAAATCGCTTAAATTAACCATAATCAGAGGTCGTTTACTCACCAAAACCTTTCCATCATGAAATATTCACTGGAGTGTCAGAAACTGCTTTAATATTTCATGGTACCAAAATCATGGCTCAAAGCACGAAAACATAATACGGATTTTAAATGTATGGAGATTAAAAAACATCAAACGAATTTTCACGACTTCGTCTAGGACTAGTTTCCTTTGTGTCAAAGGAAACAACATCGATGCATTATGGAAAGAATGAATCGGATAGGTCCAAATTGCTTCCAATTTCCATTTTTATTTTTCGTTTATCATGCAGTTAAGTGCGGTTGAATTAAACTGCACTTTTGGTAGACAATGAAACCACGGCATATGGTGAGAAACGCAGCTTGACTTAATCATTTCAAAGAAGGATCCTACAAATTGCGTTTCGAGATCGAACTTCAACACCAGATTTAAAAAGGCCCACCTTTTAGGAACGAAACATATTTTGAGGGATGACAGCAGTTACCAACGCTCTTTTGCGGTTTGTTTGCATTCAAGTTCAAATGAGTTATTTAAAAACAACAACATTAACAACAACAATAACAATAACAATAACAACAACAACAACAACATCGAAAACATCACCTGATCCCAAAATTTATCCTTTCCTTGCCATTCCTTCCTGCATTTTCGTCAAATGTCACCGTTATTTTATCGTTTCAAAGGTAAACATTTGACAATAAAAATTTTTCTGGAACAGATAAGTTTTGAAACAGGCACAAGTGATTTCGTTTTACTTACCTTTTAAGGGAAGATATTTCAGTTTGTTTCTCAAGTTGAAATAAACAGTACATGCTAAAAATAACGAACATATCATGGCTTCCTGCTGTTCAGGAAGGCTGAGTAACCCGGCTTATATAAAGGGGTGCATGATGGGTAATAGTGACTAAAAAAAATTTAATCTTCGCTCAGAAAAATCTGGCCTTTGTTTTAAAATACTATTTTTCTTTTGCATCGTGTTGACGGTACAAACACAACAAAAAGATAAATTACAAGTGAAATTCTAAAAATGAATCCTTAATCCGCTGGCTTTTAGCTGTAGTCAATAAATTCAATCCACAAAACATTTTTGCAGGATAATTTGCCATGACTTATTTTATAAATCATATTTTAATGTTTAAATTGCCAAATTGCTTTACTTATTTAGTTCTTTCAATTATTGTCTACCTGCTGTGGTTTTCGGGCTCATTAACTGAGAGTATTTTAGTGAAGTACTTTCGGCACATAACTGTTGAAAATCTCTTACGTTTTTAAAGTTCAAATTTCAATTTTCCCCTTCCTCTTCCCTCCTTGTATTATTTTTTTGTTCACGCGTGAAGCGCGTGATTTAAGAAATCAACCAATCACGTCAAAAACACTTTAACCTTAACATTAGAAACTGACGTAGATATTTCTTGCGTATCTTGGTTGTTGTTGTTTTTTTTTGTACGGAGTTAGTTTGGTTGTTGTTTTGAGATTTCGTTCACACCAATTTTTTATCCCTCAAGTTGGAATTTTAAGAAGATTTTGGAGTTTTCATCTAACATTTTCTACGGAGTTTGGACTCTAGCCTTTTTTTTTTCGTTATTGGATTTTTTACAATAACGGCTATTTCTCCGTATAGATGTTTAAACCCTTATATATTGTTGATTACCGATGGCTTTGTTTTCATGAGATGTACGTACTTGCCAAACGTACGTGAAACTTTGTTTTTCAAGATAAAAAATAATCCTTCCAGACCTATGTATAATAGCTTTCAAGTCAGATCAGTAATCTTTGTTACGAGTTTGGTCAAAAGGGCATCTACATGGTGCTCTGTTTCAGTTTTGCTGTGGTGCAAGATTTGACGAATCCAATCATGGGTGCAAATGCATAAAGGATAATTGTAACCAGCCAGCTGGCAACCTCTTTGTTTGGAAATTCTATCCTAAATAACCTTCCTGAATCGCAAATATTACAGGTTTTCCGTCTGGAAAAGCTGACACATAGTTACAATATTTTTTTCAGAGTAAGCAAACCCTTGAATTTTTTGCCATCTTGGTCTATCTATTCTTCCGGCAGCTACACCCACGAACAGCACGACTACAAAATCAGAGTTTCAAGCCGACAACAGAACTACAATGTTTCTTTTTTCCTTCTAGATAACAAGGCTGCGGCTGCGCTAAATTTTCACTCAAAATTAAACAACAGGTGCTAAATGTGGCAGACATCCAGCAAAAATGTTAAGTTCAATTCGGGAAGATTGCGTAGAAATTTTGAAAATATCGGTTTGTGTAAATTTTTGATGACAGAGGCGCGCTGGAAAGATTGCTCAGTGGACTGTTGAAACTGCTTTCGGGACGTGCTCCCAACAGCACTTTGTTTCACACTTTTTGCAATCATTGAGAGTTTCAGAGTCAACTGATTCGTCTCGTTTAGATCAACTCACTGTCGACTTAATGTGCCGATGAAAAGTCTCTATGCACATATGAATTAATTTCCCCCAAATTTAGTAGATCTTCATCGTTTTCTGCATCGTCTGGACTAAATGTTTAGACCAGCATGTGTTTAGACGGTGATGGTAACAAATTTTGTAATCCCAGCTGGTATAGAAAAGACAGTTTCTCAACTGAAAAGATTTGCAATCGGAGACTATTTCTAGCTAGTGGTAGAAATTACCGAAGGAAATCGAAGGCTTACCTTGTTATCGTCCGTGTTAGATTACTGGTATAAAATCTAAGAGACCAAACGAAAACGAAGTGCTAGTGCTAGTCAATGTTTCCAGTTGCCTCCCATCTCTGATTGTTGACAGCCGTGGGAAACGGTAATGTAAGCCTCCACCAATTTAAATACGATGCATTTCTGTGATATTTCCATGAAAAAGGCTGATAAGAATCGGAAACAGAAGAGAGGAAGTTGAAAGGAAATTCAGTTTAAAACTATAAACAAGTTTGATTACAGAAAACCTTTACTTTGATCCTGGAAGAATGATTCAAATTGGATTTCTCCCGGCCTTATCTGTATTTGACCCACAGACCGCCTTCCGTCGTGAATGATCGATACCGATAAACAATGATGAAACAAGTAATTCTTAAAACCAGCACGAAGGGAAATGTTAGACTTTCAGGGAAGAGAATTTCACTGTAGATCGTCTCTGTTGCCTTCACTGGCTGTTTGAAGGCAAGAAAAGATATGACGAATGATGACAGCTTCACTTCGGAATCCATTAAGGCAAGCCCCTTGAAAACTGATTGTCGCAGTAAACATTCGATTCCTTATTTTGCACAGAATTAATTTTGATCTCAGGCTCCCCTTGTAGGAGGTACAATCTCGATTAAAAAGGATAAACAATAAAAAAGCTACTCCCTTCGTTATCATGAGGGTTAATCAGAGAACGATAACCAAAAAGATTGTAAAAACACGACGTGATAATTGACCGTTTCAGTAAAATCGGCTTAGAGTAAGAACTTGCACGCGAAAATCCTTAAAAATATACAAGAAAAAAAAGATACGAACATGTTAAACTGGTTTCTATGCTGTTCAGGCAGTTCGATAACGATTGAACAGATGTACAAGTTAGAAAGGAAGTTCCTGGTTTATTATCAAATTTACTTTTTCCGAAATCAAGGAATTAACAGTAAATGAAATGTCTCGATGCAGTTTATTTTCCATGATTGATATAATTAGGGTATATTTGAGCGGAACACGTGGTTTTTATAATACCATTTAGAAAGAAAATCGCCAAAACAATATTTTTTATGGCTTTGAAAACCATTATTTAATAAAATGTGAAATGTCTCAATGTAGTTTATTTTTCCGTGATGGATATAATTTGGGTATTTGAGAGGAACACGTGGTTTTTACAGCACCATTTAAAAAGAATATCGCCAAAACAGTATTTTTAACAGCTTTGAAAACCATTTTGTTAATAGAATGTGATCGGAAATTAAGAAAATTAAGAAAATAACTAAAGAAAGAAAGTTTTCGTTTAGATTGGCGGCCCAATTTCAGACTTCCACTAATTGGTTTTCCGTCAATCAAACGACTCAACCAATCAGGACACCGCTAGATTGTCATTTCATAATACTCGATTAACGCGACGTGCAGGTGAAAAGTAAGGTTTCTGTTGACCAAAAAATTAAAGTTGATAAAAAAAAAAAAAATATGACTCACTATTTGACCAAATATTTCTCATGTCTCAACACTTAAGAGGGTGTGCTTTATCCAAAAAAAGAGAAAGAGAATTTTTACGCAAATACCCAGGCGAAGATGAGTAAATCCAAATCAGGGTAATAAATCCGGTTACGCACGACTATCTAGAATATAAAGCTACCTGCCCAAAACGAGAGTCTTAAAAAAATAAATCAGTCTTACGTTTGGCGGTTGTTCAATGAAGTTTAAGGTTTTTACTACTTGATGATCCTTGGTTATAAGTTCTTTTTTTACAAGCTATATTTAGAATGCTTTGCGATCTACAATGCAAGTCATTTGATTCAAAGACCGGTGTCCTTGGTAGAAAATACATGGCAAATTCGGCTCGCGATTTGTTTCGCGTCAATCAATCAATCAAATGATCAACCAATCGATCTATCGTTGAATCAATTTATCTTCTTTCATACTGACATCAGTCAATTCAGAAATGTTGACCTCCATCCAAACTCGTTTTTCAGATGGCAAGTCGCAGCCTGTCTACAGCTCCTGGGTTATCTCAATTATTATTAGAATTACGTCTTAGTGTAATAAAAACTAACTATCTTACTTTGAAGTTCGATTGTTTGAGTTCATCTGAGTCAATTGTAAGCGCTGTCCTCTCATACAGATGCAGTCAATATTATCAGTGGCGGATCCAGATTTGGAGCTAAGGGAGGTAGGGAGCAGTTATGTTGTGTGTGCACACCTGCCGCTTTCTCTTCCTACTGCGATTTTTTTTTTACCCAAAATGAAAAAGGAGGGTGGGCCCCCTGGGCCCCTCCCCTAGATCCTCTACTGATTATTCACACTGTTGAGATCATTATTACACTTTGTTCGTCGTGTTTCTTCTCCGGAACTTTTCCCTTCCTGGATGATTCCCGATGCCACGTGATTCTGTTGTAAGATCGAACAAATGACGTCCCTGTGGCCAGGAAAGGCATATTGAAGTTCTGCTCCTTGCACAGCAACTTGTGACCAAGGTAACGAAATGTGTTTATCATCTCACGATTCCTGTAGGCGTACACGAACGGGTTAAGGGCACTATTACTATAGTGACAGAACTTGACAAATTTTAGGAGTCGGTCTGTCCCCAGTGGGGAGGGTAGTTTGTGGGGGTGGTAGGTCGCTAAGACACTGACAACGAACAGTGGCATCCATGCGATGATAAACAGAAGAGTTATCATGGCAACCGTGGCAGATAACCGTATCTCGTTGTTGTAGGCTTTCTTGTGCAGGCGGTGACGCGATAAAATACGAACGGGCCTTGATCGCGCAAACACATAGATGGTGATGTATGCGACGAGAATTATTACAAATGGCACGAAAAAGCATGTGGTTGTCATGAGGAGTGTGTACACTTCTTTCCAGCGCCCAAACTGCACCGGTTGTAAGCTCGCCATGATGGCGGCGTACAACCACGGAATTGCGATCATGGCGTAGAACACTTTCATAGAGAGAGTTCTGTGACGTAATGGCCTGACGATTGCGTGACAACGTTCGATACTGATGGACGTTAGTTGCAAAATGGAAGCGCTTCCGATAAATATGTCGGACGTGATGTAGAAATGGTATCCAACAATGGTATAGGGGCGCTGAATGTACTGACTCAGAAAGATGTAGATCCAACAGGGAATAGACACAAGACCCACTAGGATATCACTTAACGACAAACTGACGATAAAAGTATTTGTCACGGTTCTTAACTTCCGGTTCATCACAAAGGAAGTAAGGAGGAGTCCATTTCCGGTAATGATAGTAACCACGAGTAAGCAGTACAGCACAGTTATGCAAGCCAGCTCGGTCATGTTCATTTTTTCTAACGCCGCAGGAGATGTGTTTGTATTTCCAGTGCCATTGTCGTGATTCTCCATTCTGAAATTTCTCTTGTTGCCGAAAAGCCTTCCTTTCACTGTTTGAAATAAAAGAAAGAATTAGAAGAAGAAGACTAAAATCAGAGATAAAATCTTGAGCTATGCAGTACATCGAGAAATTGATGTAGACTTCTGCACATGCACAAGTGCAATTTTTGACCTTGATTATGATCGGCCGTATACAAGTTTTGACAATTTACGGTTTCTTGGTCACGCAAGTGAAAAGTTTCATCTCAGTTCTTTACAGTTACGAGTTCAAGTTGAATTCGAATTCATAAATAAGATTGGGGCAAACTCGTGGAAAATGAGCTGTTTAGAATTCCTTCATAATATCACGTGGTGTTGTTTGTTCTCTCTCTCATTCTGTGACAAATGAATATTGTTGTATCTATTTACCGGAACGTTAGGCACCGTATGCCGCAATTTGTCGATATTTTGAGGGTAAAGTCTAAGAACGGCATTACAGTTGTAGAATTTGTCTACTATTGGGGAAACTTCGATTGCTAGGACCTCTAATGAAATAAACGTCTTGGACGAACCAGCGTCTCACGTGATGTTTACATCATTGGTCGTTCTGCGCGCGTTCGTCGCAGTAACTTCAACAATTTGCCGACTCGCTTTGGCTCGACTCATTTTGAAAAAAGTGTAATGAAAACCGTTTTCTCACTCCCTTTGTTAAGCCTCTTGAGAACCGTACAGAAGTTGTTGGATAAAAAAAGAGCCCAAACAACCACTAAACGGAAACTATTAACACTAACTACCTCTTACCACAAAAACATACAATGCCTCGAGCGTAAAGTTTTACGAACGATTTAGTTGTTCCAAGAAGATCAGGTTTTTCAATTTCTAATGAACGCATCTTGCCACCTTAAAATCTTGAGCTATGACTAAATTCGCCGGCGAATTTTTTGCCAAGCTTAGTATGCCCTAAGCTCTTCTTTCATCATGTCTTTGTTCGAGGCATCAAATCTAACACCTCGTTAACGCCGTCTAAATGTTAGTCTTTTCTTGAAACCGAACAAATAATGACGTCGAGGAAGGCTTTGGAGACAAGGATCAGTTAAAATCGCTAACTGGTCAAAATCAAAGACGATTATCCAATTAAAATTTAAACGTAGTAAATTGTAGCTACGACTTACATCTTGATGCCGAAAGATTCCAAACAAGTTTGAATGCCGTTCTGAAATGTCAGGTGAGGTGTTTTTGCCAAAAACTGTTAACTAAGACTTTTTTCCTAGTAAGTTAACCCTTGGAAATTACACGAGATCCCTGCATAAAGACATACAATCTTCGTAACATCTGCACTGTCCGCATTAATCGTTTCATTGTCATTAAAATATGCCTTTTTGGCAGTCTTTCAAATTTTATGCTAATGTAATGTTCTTTTCATCCTTGGCTGGGTTTTCTCTTGGCATTTGTCATTCTCTGTCGCGTGTAAACCCATCGTGTTTCATTGTTGATCCGGTACAAAGAGATTTGCATCTAAACAATCGGTTCCCTTGATCGATAAAATTTTTAAAAGCCGTAACTTGTTGAAACAATTATCAAAGAGAGCCGTCGTTGGATCTGAAGTTTATTTTAAGGCGAAAACCACAAAAGACCCGTTTTCGATGAATTTAGTTCACTGTTTGAGGTTATAACTCGAACAAAAGCAGAGTGGCTAACACAACAACTGGTGATTTATAACTGTCATGTTTCTATTCAAAATTTAAAAAAAAAAAAAAAAAAAACACATCAAAATAGATAACCTGTCAGATTTTCGTTAAAAAGAAGAACCTTATGTGATGAGCCACACTTTTTAAATTTCCTCTTCAGTCGGAGTGTTTTCCTTTATTTTATCAGCTATAGTTCATTTAGCTGAGATTTCAGTCGAGCAGAAAGGGAACTGGACGTAGTGCTTGACGTATTAGATACGCTTGAGAATTTTTGACAATTTTTGGGTGCCTCCAGATCAAAGAAAAATTTGTTTTGAGAATTAAAAAAAATTGGAGGAGCAAATACTTTTTCATCCGTCTCTGTGGGCTCTAAGATACATCTATACACAAGACACAGCTCGAACACTGAGCTTTTTATGAAAGGAAAAAAGGATTTTGGTCGAACAAATAGATAAAGTTCGAAGTTTAGTTTGGACGTCGATCTTGGATAGTCGAACTTGTGCAACACAAAAAGTAAATAATAATAATAATTCATGGATTACATTCGATACATGAAAAGTTTCACGTTTGAGTCGAGGTCACCCACAGTCGAAATTCTCATGTCGACCATTTCATGAATTTAATCGTTTGGTCGACCCAATTAGATGGTGGTGGTACTTGACTAATTCAAATGAGCTTCGATCTAATCATGAACCACTGAACTGAGGGATTTAGTCCGGGCTCGGCAAATTTGCGGAGTGCATGAAAAGTTCTTGGTTAATTTGAAATCGGCCTTAACCTCTTCACTCACAAGATCTCGTTAGTAATTCTCCTCACTGTCTGCCATATATTTCTTATGATGTTAGTTTGGAGAAATTGGTATCGGATCAACCAATAATCCAATAATTGATATACTTTTTTTTATTATTCTCATCACTTGTCTGTTTGTTATTGTAAGGAGAAATTCTGTCTTGGTCATTCACTGGAGTTACTTAAAGTCTTAACCATTTCCACTTTTCATCCTTGTCATTGTGACCAGCGGGAACAGGAATTCTATTTCTTATAAGATTAAATTTATCCCTTCTCCAATATATGGCCGCTGAAAACAGAAATCATTAAGTGTACAACGCGGGCAACAAACAAGTACTAGCATCTACTAAAAATCCTTATTTGGTAATCGTACAAAGCTACTTTCAGTTTGGTGTTGGATCAGACGAGAAAATTTGATTTTGAATACTATTTGGATTAGTACAGAATTTGTTTGACCCGATATATATATGAATATCATACCTCCCGCTATAGGAGAATCGTCTTTGGAGATGGATAAACTCCGGCCTGTTTTTTTTTTTTTTTTGTTTGTTTTTTTTTTAATATATAAGATAAAACGAATGCCATTAACTTTCAAATTCTATCGTATAGTGTTTGGATCACAAGCTTTCTTACTCTGATGAGTATTTTCTCTATGATAAGTGAGTTTTGTTTCGAGTAGTCATTTTGGAGAGACGTGCTTTCTTTTATTTGTATTTTTAGACACGAGTCATCCGGTATTTCTCGCAGCGTTTGGTCTATCGCCCGTATTTTCGCGATTGGAGTCAAGGCCAAGGTGTTTTTTTCACTGTAACCTCCGACGATTAAAATTAACACCAGAACTTTCGGAAGGGCCATCTACCTTAAAAAAAGTAACAAGTTTGGGCTAGAAAAATCGAACGATTTACTTTCTTTATGAAAAAATCCCTCTACTAGAAACTATAACTTATTGCTAGTCAAATAATTTCCCAGCGCATACGCATCTGTTGGATGAAATATTCTCAAAAATGAGTCTGATTCAGTCTTTTCTACAATTGCACAAGATGTTCACAGTAAGACAATAAAAGTGAACCTGTTTAAAGAGGCACTTTTCCGCGCAGTTACAGATATCTCTCTTACTTTGAGGGCCGCTGCGTCATGTAGAGCTTCTCCGTGACAATCAAACTGATCCAAGAGGTGATTTATAAAATCAAAAGGCGTAATTCCTGATTAATGTTGTAAAACTCAAACGAGCGATCGCGTGTTTTTCGTCAGAGACGACAACTCAAGAGTTTATGAATAAGGTAAGTCAGTTCTAGTTACCCTTGCTTTTCAGAGGCATTTCAATCCGGTTTTGTATCTATAAGGGACCCTCAGTTATTTCTTGAAATGACAGAATAAGAACGCACAGAAGTGGCCATCAATTATTTCGCAAAAAATCGATGAGTATGAAAGAAACTCGAAAGGTTTTTGTTGCAGAATGTTGCTCATAAAAAAATCTCCACATACAATATATCTACTGTTAGAATGTCAGCGACGATTTCTCGTGGGAACAAGCGGACCACTTTGCCAACCAAATTACCTGTTTAGTTAGCTTATTCACGGGGGATATTTTGGGGAGATTATCTAGCAAGATGAAAATCCTAAATTTTGCTGGCGTACTTAATAAAACAGCTGGTACCTCATATATTGCAACCGCGAGAAACGCTGAAAGAAACTGTACCCCAAAAAAATTCAATCAATTTGCAATTTAAAACGAGAGTACTCTTCGACGGAGCAAATTTGACTGCCTCACCTGTTTGGATTTAGAGACTAGTGCGCTTGTCCTTTTCGCCGTTTAATCAGAGACCAAAAGTCTTGCTCGTTTTCTATGCCGTAAAAAAGTGACTTACGGAGCAGACACTGGAAATCTTTCGCTTGATCCGAGTAATTGACATCCGCAGTTTAGCAATGACACCGAGACTAGAACAGGTCAAGAACCGATTAAAATGTTCTTGTATTACCAATTTTGTTGACATCAGTAGTTCAAAAGAAACTGGTTTCCTAAGTGTCGTAGTTCATTGTGTGCTTGGCTGTTCAACCGCACTGAACAAACAGGATGGCAAAACGCAATATTAGAGCGAAAGTTTGTTTGAACAAGATTTGGGCGTTATATTAGTCTTTTGACTGGATAGAAGAAAAGGAGCTAAATCTGTTCTATTGTATGCATTCTAATCAGTCGAATAGTTTGCCTCTCAGGATTTATTTACATCTCAATTCAGAACATAGAATTTAGCGACCTCCTGATCTTAATTCGAAGGATGTTCTGCCTAGTGAAGTTAAAAAAAAATCTTCGAAAGTAACATCTTAAGCGAGTTGTAAAGACAAATTAAACCAGCAGCTAACTAAATAAACCTCAGTTGTTTTTTATAAAAATTTCGGCTTCAGTGTATGCGAATTTTCTTGTCAAAACATGACAAGACGCGAGATCGTAAACAAAAATTAGTAGAAAAAGGGTTTTTACGTTGTAGTTTCCGGCGCCCATTAGTTCAGCCTTTCATTTTTCTTTTGAAAAATTTTTGCTTTTTTATAAATCAAAAAAACACCAGCGGCATATTATTTTGTCTACCGATGTTTTGTCGCGACTGATGGCTGTTTTGGTAATTTCTACAAACTTGCGAATATGTAACTATGGAAACTCTCTGAGGAGAGCAACCAATTGAATGATAAAAGAGAGGTTTTAGTGGCTTCTCAGAATTCTACAGACAGTGTTCCACGTCGTGGAGACATCTGCAAAAATAAGTCCTTTTGGGGTTAGAAATAATAACACCATCCCCGCCCGAGAAATCGGTTTTCTAAGCGCGAATGTTTAGGTCAAGATCTCTGAGACTGAAGCGTCACCGTAGAGAAGCGTTGGGCCAAGTTCGGCCTAATTGCAACTCACTTTGCAGACAGCGTATGCTCATTTGATAAGGATCAAGTAAATATGCCCTCTTTACTACAAAAAAGGCGCTTCATCTTTGCTTAATTAAAAAATGTAGAAAGTAATAAAATCGATATAATGACAATCACTCACACCAAACATGGAGTGTGCAGCTGGTTGTTAATTAATATTCAAAGGGTCTTTCAGTAAGGTTATAACCGTCAAAAGAAGTCCAGAATTAGAATAAGAGAGATGGTCAATTTAGAGCCCGAAAATTAACTACTGAAAGAAGGTGCTTTTTCGTCTTTTACGAATGCGGGACAGAGAGAGAATTCTGAGTACCCGCAAGGAATCGAACACCAGACCTTTGGATTCCGCGACCACTGAGCTATCTATAAAGAGATTCTTCAGTGAACTAAACGATGACTAGGCTCATGTATGACTTGAGTCTTGCATACTGCCAGAATCAGCATAGTGGAAAGTGTCCCTGGGACTCAGAATTCTTTCCTTGTCCTCCATCTTCTTAAATCCAGAATTGTATTTAATTTATTTTACCTTGCTCTTTGATTGGTTCGTAGAACTGGGGGCAACCTTCCCAACCAATAAGTGGTAACTTAGTCACCCGCGTTTTCCCGCGCTCCATTCAATTTGTTATTTTTTTTTGCTTTTTGTTCTCATTGGTTGGTTGGAATGTTTTCTTTGCTCTGATTGGAAGCGGTAGTTACTTTCGTTTTTATTTTACGACACACGATCAAAATACGCGCTGAGAACTCTAAAATAATTTTGTGTGAGTGCTGATATCAAATGCAGCGTAGTTCTTACCAGCCCATATGGTTATGTTTTTTTTTTTTTTGCGTGGCTTATAAGATCTTCTTCCCAATGCAATATAAGCCCCCACAAACTCTAAGGAATCTGAGTAATCCCTGAGGCGTACCCCTGGGATTTTACAGGGTCATGCAACGCTTCTCTGCTGTA